ACAAAATTGGCCAGGCACAGTGGCTTTCCCGCCTGTAATTCCTTCAGCACTGATGGTGGTCGTGGGAGGGCCAAGGCGGGAAGATCAACCAATAGTCAGAGAGATCAAGATCCTGGCTTACAGCGGTGAACCCATGTCTCTACTAAAAAAGTTACCAACATTGGACCGGGGTACGTCAGTGGCTACAACCCTGTTATATCCCAGCAACTTGGTGGATGCGAAGGCGGTGAGTAGTACGGTAGGGATCATCCGAGGTGGTCAGTATGATGATCGAGACCAATTCGCATGCTAACATGGGTGAAAATCCGGCAATTCTGCTAAAAACATCAAAACATTTATGCGGGCATGGTGGCGTTGCCTTTAGTACCCAGGTACTCCAAGGAGGCTGAGGCAGGTTGGGGAAGCAAGAGATGGCGTGAGTGGAACCAGTACCCGAGGCTGGAGAACTCCAGAGGCTGAGGCAGGAGAATGGCGTGAACCCAGGAGGTGGAGCTTGCAGTGAGCCGAGATCGTGCCACTGCACTCCAGCCTGGGAGACAGAACAAGACTCCGTCTCAAAAAAGAAGAAAAAATACAAATACAAATACAAATATTAGCCGGGTATGGTGGCGGGCATCTGTAGTCCCAGCTACTTGGGAGGCTGAGGCAGGAGAATGGCACGAACCCGGGAGGCAGAGGTTGCAGTGAGTCGACATTGTGCCACTGCACTCCAGCCTGGGCGACAGAACGAGACTCCATCTCTAAAAAAAATAATAAATAATAACAAAAATCAGCTGGGTGTGGAGGTGGGCGCCTGTATTCCCAGCGACTTGGGAGGCTGAGGCAGAAGAATCGCTTGAAACCAGGACGCAGAGGTTGCAGTGAGCCGAGATTGTGCCACAGCACTCCAGCCTGGGCAACAAGAGTGACACTCTGTCTCAGAAAAAAAAAAAACATAAAAAAGAAAAAAAAACACACACACACACACAAAAAAACGCAGATGTTCTCTCGAAATAATGAAACAACAGTTCCTCCAGGTCTAGTCTAGTATAAATATGCAATGCAATCTAGTCTAGTATAAATTATATTTCAAAGCCAAAAATGAAACCCATCTGATTTGGGCTTATGAAATGTAATTTATACTAGACTAGATTGCAAAAACAGTAACACCGAATCATCGTTAGTACGCTACCTTTCCAGCAGCTCTTCCAGGCTCACGATGCCTTGTACATGAAGATGCCACACCACTTCGAGCAACAAAGAATTCTGAAAAAAAAAACCAGTAGTTTGAGTCCTTTATGCGTGCATTTTCCTACAAAATGTTCAGCCTAGGTTCTTCAAAACCATGCTGTACTGAAAATTAACATCAAGCAAAAATCAGAGCCTGAAATACATCGTTTTTTACAAAACTGTCCCTGTTTTCAAACCCCCTGGCCTTTGGGCACGCACATACCATTGCCCAACACTTGCTTCCCCTTCCCTTTTCCTACTGCTTCAGCCGGGGCTCCAGTGGAGCCTACTTCCAACTCTTTCTCCACACTGCAGCCAACACAGTATTACAAACACCTGACATGACAATCGCTCCTTCAGAAGCCTTCACTGGCTCCTCGTAGCTGCCACGACAAAGGTCAGCCTTCAGTGTGCCCTATGCATGTCCCTTGTCTTTCTCACTCAACCCTCTCCCATTTGATAACCCTCCATGTAGCTCAGACCCTGTGCCACTCACTGAACACTGTGTCCCAGTCACAGTGCCCTGATCTCCCTGTGGCCTCCCCTTCTCATCCCCCTAACTCACACTCTTCAGTCTGTGCAGGAAGGCTTCCCTAACTCTCCAATCTCATAGGCATGTCTATCTTCTTCTTCGTAAACCTGTGAGCACCTGTAGCATCACACTTCTTGTGGATTTAGTGGCTTGTTTCCCCAGCTAGATGACAATGAGAGCCGGGACCAAAGCAGTAACTGAAAAATCTAATGAACCCTATAATGTATGCTGGATGAAAGAATGGGAAAGGCTGGACAGTGGGTCACGCCTGTAATCCCAGCACTTTGGGAGGCCGAGATGGGCAGATCACCTGAGGTCAGGAATTGAAGACCAACCTGGCCAACATTGTGGTGAAGCCTATTCGCGCATCCTATAAAGATTTTTAGCAAAAATTAACTGGCATGGTGGCACATGCATGTAATGCCCAGGGCTACTCAGGCCTGAGGCGGACAAGTCGCTTGGTACGCTGGAGGCAGGAGGTTGCAACTGAGCCAGAGATCGCTCCGACTGCACTCCAGCGCTGGGCGCCAGAGCAATACCCTGTCTCAAAAATTAAAAAAAAACAAAACACAGGCGCAGTGGCTCACACTGTAATCACAGCGCACTTTTGGGATGCGAGGTGGAGAATCATGAGGTCAGGACTACTTGAGACCACCTGGCTACCCAGTAAAATCGATCTTGCTAAAATACAAAAAATGTGCTGGGTGTGGTGGTGGGCCGCCTGCTGAGTCCAAGTACTCAGCAGGCCGAGGCAAAGACAATCAACTTGAACCTAGGAGCAGGAGGTTGCAGTGTGAGCCAAGATGGTGCCACTGCGATCCAGCCTGGCGGAGACAGCAAGATCTCATCTCAAAAAAAAAGAAAAAAAAGAAAAAGAAGAAGAAAAAGAATGGAAAAGAGAATTGACGAACCAAGCTGAATAAATGATCGCCTTTGTTTTTCTTTGCTCCTTCTGTGTATTTACTAATTTTGTTTAGTACCACCAAATGTTTTGCATTCTTTCCATTCATCGAAAGTCTATAATTCTACTAAGTTCAAAATGCTTCAAAAAAGAGCAGGTAAGAACCATTTGTATATTTTATCATTAGGCTGGGCATGGTGGCTCATCCCGGCAATCCCAGCACTTTGGGAGGCCCAAGAGGGAGGACTGCTTGATGCCAGGAGTCCAAGACCTGCCTGGGCAATATAGCAAGACCCTGTCTCTGAAAAAAAATTACATACTTTTTTTTTTTTAATAGTTTACTATACTGCCCTGGAAAATTCTTAATAATAAACCCAAGAAGGCTAAACATGTTTTATATTTTATTCTAATAAATATTACTGATAGGTAAATAGTGACAAAAATGGTAATTGAAGGTACTTTCTTTCCAATCCACAGATGATTTCTAAACCCTTTTTCATCCACTCTCTGTAATTAATGAGAAGCTTGGCAGAATTCCCGAGAAAACCCAGGTACTCTGTTGCCTCTATCTCGATCAACAGAACATTGCCTGGAACACTGGAGAGCCAGATTTGCAATCTCAAATTTACCTGTATTTTCCATAATTCTTGACAGAAGGAAAGACGGGAGAACATACTGTGTGCCAGTAAATACTGAGCAAACTCTAACAGGGAAGACAGCTTCTTCTGAAAAGAAAGATTACATTTTTTAAATAACAGATTACCTGAAACAATATTAAAGAAATGTCCTGTTTTCCCAACCAGCTTAAAAGTAACAATGGGCAGGTCTCCTCATCCTGGCTGGTGTCTTACTCTGTGCTCCGCAGTCAGCAGCACAGGGTGACTGGTCGCCGCCGCAGCTGTGCAGACCTGTCCCACGCTGGAGGCAACCATCCCGGCTGAGAGAACACCCACGGGAATCCCTAGCCTTGAGGCTTGATCCTGCAAAGCAGAGCCTTAAACACAAAACAAAACCACAGCTTTCTCTTAACACATGAGACAAAATCTAAAACCAAAGACTTGCTGTTTCAAATGCCTTATTTTTGGCCGGGTGCGGTGGCTCACGCCTGTAATCCCAGCACTTTGGGAGGCCGAGGCGGGCGGATCATGAGGTCAGGAGATCGAGACCATCCTGGCTAACACGATGAAACCCTGTCTCTACTAAAAATACAAAAAATTAGCTGGGCGTGGTGGCAGGTGCCTGTAGTCCCAGCTACTTGGGAGGCCGAGGCAGGAGAATGGTGTGAACCCGGGAGACAGAGCTTGCAGTGAGTTGAGATCGCGCCATTGCACTCCAGCCTGAGCAACAGAGCGAGACTCCATCTCAAAAAATAAATAAATAAATAAAAATAATAAAATAAAATGCCTTATTTTAAGATGCAGCACACACACAAAAAATGCCTTTTAAAGGGGGAAAATAGATACAAAGGGAAAAACGTGAGATAAAAATTAGAATTTGATGACCCAAGCAGCACACAATAAACCTGGTGGCAACACCCGAACCCAGAGTTACGCATTCGTATTCGTTACGTTCCCACGACACAAAAGGAGCAAGGTAAAGAATACATTCTGACCAAGAACTTTATCATCTTTTTCCAAAGGAGCACAATCGAGAACTCCAGCAGGCTCTTTCAATTACATTGTTTTTCTAGTTACTTCAGAGATAACCCTGCTCCTGTTGACTCACATTGATGATTGTGTCAACATCAGGCAGGGATTTCCCAGTGCTCTGACATGTACCTGGTAGGCAGGTACAGTCACAGCTGTGCTCAGTCCACAGGCCACCGAGTGGAACCTCACTAACAGCCTGCAGCAGCCACCATTCTCCTGAAAAGCCACTGGTCTGCGTTCAATACAGTGAGAAATGGTGAGCAACCTGGAAGCAGGCAATGCCAGTAAGCTATTTTCTAATTTATTTGCCTTCCAAAATTTTTTCTTTTTCGTTTTTCTGCAATGGTGTCTTGCACTGTCACCCGGGCTGGAGTGCAACAGCGCCATCTCGGCTCACTGCAACCTCCACTTCCCAGGTTCAAGCAATTCTCCTGCCTCAGCCTCCCAAACAGCTGGGATTACAGACATGCATCACTATGCCCGGTTAATTTTTTGTGTTTTTAGTAGAGATGGGGTTTCACTATGTTGGCCAGGCTGGTCTCCAACTCCTGACCTCATGATCCGCCCACCTTGGCCTCCCAAACTGCTGGGATTACAGGTGTGAGCCACCACGCCAAGCCAAAACTAATTGCTTAAAAAAACTGGGCCGGGTGCGGTGGCTCACGCCTGTAATCCCAGCAGTACGGGAGGCCAAGGAGGGTGGATCACGAGGTCAGGAGTTCGAGACCAGCCTGGCCAAGTCGGTGAACCCCGTCCTCTACTAAAAATACAAAAATTGAGCTGGGCTGCAGCGGCGGGCCCAGTGAACCCAGCTACCCTCGGGAGGCTGAGGCGGGAGACCTTGCTTGAACCAGGAAAGCCAGAGGATGAAGTGATGCCGAGATCGCGCCACTACACTCCACCTGGGCAACAGAGCAAGACCTTGGTCTCAAAAAAAAAAAAAAAAAAATTTTAACAGTAATTATAGAAAGCTTAAAATTCAT